CTAGTGGAAGGGATTCAGGGAGCTAACGGTCCACAGGGTAGGGAGGTGCAATACTTGCCTTGCCGCGGGCGATGACAACTCACGCTCACGCTTGGCCACTGATATGGTCATGTGGCCGTACTGTTTAAGGTCAATGATGTCAGCACAAACAATCCTGCCCCTTATAATATGTGCAGCTGAGGGGTGAGGAATGCCCCGGCCTGCAGCTGATTAGGCGGGCAGTACCATGTCCCACCCAGAGTTGCTCGCTGTAGCTGACCTCAATTCTACGAATCGCTGGGTTGCCATGGTCATCCACAGCTGCAGTAGAACAAAAAGGAGAAAAGGAAGTGCCACGACCAGGGAGAAGAAATGTTCTTAGCCAATCGGTGCGGCTTGGTTGGCTAAAAACATGTCTACCCCCCTGGTCGTGGCACTTCCTTTTCTCCTTTTTGTTCTATGTCACACGTGTCGGACACCCCGGTCCGTGCTATCAGGAAGCTGCACACCAATACCACCCTCTGCGCACAAGCCTTCTCCCTGTTTTTTGCCCCCTCAAGACCATAGAGCGCTGGAATTCTGGACTGCCCCTCTAACTTTTCATCCACAGCTGCAGTGGATAACATGAGGCGCTACTAAAGCCGGTCACTTTGTAATTCTGCAAATTTCGCCTGAATTTTCTGTGTTGCATTTTTTTCCCCCCTAGCAACAAAAATGCTAATTATAGCTTTTCTATACCTGCTACAAATGGCTGCTACAAAAAATCCCCAGTTTGGCACGGGTCTTGGTCAGGTAGCCCGCCAGGGGACTTTATAGACACCACAGACTGGAAACGGAGGTGAACACAGATCATTGTTCTGCCAGAACAAAAATGGACACAGATGTACAGTATAAGTAGTCATACTACATATTTATTACTCAGCTTTGTGTGTCAGGTGGAGTTCTCCTTTAATAACACACCATCAAGTGAGATGATGTGACAACATTGAGACAATCAGACCTTGGCTGCTCATGCTCAGGTTCATGACAATTGTATGAAAAAACCTTTAGATTTTCTGTTCTGACCTCCTTTTTATGACTTCAATTTCCTACGTCCTTCTGGCTGTGCCCACCTTTTCCATATTTTACCCATTGGCACAGGTGGTATCTACACACAGGGTGCCCCTACCTGCATGTGCACAGAACAAATTGGACACTGGTACCAGCCTAGTATGACTGGAACCCATCAATCATGCACGATGCAATGCATTTCTTTTTTTTAAAGTAGGGCTTGGCTCCATCCTCCTCCCACCCTTTTGGCAAAGTTAGGCTTCCGATCCCATTAACCAACCAATAGACCTTTTTGATGAAATGCACTGGAGTTAAAGGGGAAGGCTAAAAGATGGTGCTTTTTGGCAGTTGAGAGGTGGTGCAATGAGCTTACTATGGCTCCCAGGGTGCCATGAGCTTACTATGGCTCACAGGGTGCCATGAGCTTACTACAGCTCCCAGGATGCCATGAGCTTACTATAGCTCCCAGGGTGCCATGAGCTTACTATGGCTCCCAGGGTGCTATGAGCTTACTATGGCTCCCAGGGTGCAATGAGCTTACTATGGCTCCCAGGGTGCCATGAGCTTACTATGGCTCCCAAGGCTTAGGTAAGACCCTTTCTTCTTTCCTGGACCTTTAATGGTGCCATAAATTAGCCTCATTATTTAATATTTTCAAAGAAAAGAAATTAAAGTAGCCATACACAAATAACAAACACGCACACAAAAGGAAAAAAAGGCACGAATGCAAAAAACAACAATCAAATAAAATTGCTTTAAATACACCCCAAGAAAACACAACCTCTAAATAGAGAAATAAACAAAATTGCGGTTTTTCAAGCAAATTCCACCTAGGCAGCTCAATGAGTAAACCCGAGACTTGTATGCTAACAGTGAAAACAAATGCAGAAATTTTTACGTAATCCCAAGTACTCAGATATTTGCCAATATAATCTGTCCCCAGATTGTTGTCTAAGGGGCCAATCCACATTCAGTAGGGTTTTATTTCCTGGAAATTATATGCTTTTTAATCACGCCTGCAATAAATTACATTTTCTAACACCTCTTGCACTGCAGCACTCACATCCGTACAAAATAAAGAAAAATGGCAGCGGCTGAGAAACGTTTTGGTAGTAAAAAATAATACTTGAGAGTTACTATACAGATATATTATCTCTTTTAGTAGAATATTGTATCACTTCATTGGCAAACTGTTGTGCATAAAATGAATTTAAATATAACTGGTCATGCAAGTTCCCAGGTGTTCTGCCCGATCCATCTGTCAATGTCTACTTCGAGAACCGGCCACACCCACTTATAGGACCGCATCATTGGGTGTGAGAGAGTTCCAGGAAGTATAAAGGAAATGCAAATCTCCTGAAGGTAAGAAGATGAGCTAGGACAGGGAGAGCAGGTAAAAAAAAAAAATGACGGTCACATTTCCTTTTTGATCCTGGTAGGGAAACAGAGTCCACAAATGGAAGATGGAAGATTAGGGGAAACAGTTCAGGGGTAGAAGCCATGATGGTTCAACAGCTTCATCCTCATGTAGGATAGTCATGTGGCTATAAAGCTCCAAGATGGGGGATTAGGCTAAACCAAAGAGTGGTCATGCATTCCTTCATTAGGTATTGGCAGCACCCAAAGAGGCCTTTTACCCTTTTCCAGTGAAGGTCTTCCCTTGCTGTGGTGGCCTGGCAGCGCATTGCCCCTTTCCTTTACCATTTCCCAGCTCTCCCCTTTTGCATCACGTGAAACATTACAGACCATATACCTTCTTGGCAATATTATTATTGTGACGAGATCCAAAACGCGATATGCCCACCAAGCAAGTAGTGTTGGGATATTTTCTGATGAAATCTCCTGCGGCCAGACCTCCTGAAAAGCTCAGAAGTGAAAGAAAAACTGACGTGAATTGTGGAAAAGCCGCGAGGATGACCTTTGTTTTCTTTTCTTCCGGATGATGGGCACCCAAACACAACCAACAATTAAAACCATCAGTCCGATGGAGAGAGCCACAGGTCCAAAGTTCCTGGAGACCGGAGCATCTGTATAGATAAAGTACATTGTGGTCATTATGATCCCCAAAAGGAAGACTGATCCCCCAATGGACATAATAATGATTGGCTTTTGGTAAGTGTCCCAGGCACTTCGGTGTACGTTGGTCCACAAAGACTCACTTCTTGAGGAACTGTACAAGGTGCTTTCAGTCCTGCTGGTGACCAGGTCCTTGGATTCGGAAGAAGACATATCTGCAATGCTGTACTCGCTGAGGGCAATGTGTTCTGGGGACTTGTCCATCGTATTATTCCTCAAATCGGCGACTAATATCTGGAAAACACAAAGGGCAGAAGGATACTAATTTTGTATTTTGTTGTGCTGGATATCTCAAACTCTAGTCAGTTGTGTACAACCAGATTCCCCAAAGAGGCCACAGGCGGCAAATTAAACCAGACGTGGAGCCCCACAAAGATGAACTGGTGAGTCAGGTTCCAACCACTTTATTTATTAAAGGAGAACTATGGGGTTAAGGCTTTTCCCCATAGTTCTCCTTAGGGTAACGGGAGGACACAAACTAGTGTCCTCCCGTCACACTAGGCTCAGTATACCACGAGCTGTAGCTTGCGTTATACTGAGACGCCGCAGCTGAAGCGGATCCCGACAATTATGCCGGGATCCGCCCAGCTGCGTGACTGACAGCTGGCTCTGCCTATCTAGAGGCAGAGCCAGCTGTACCCGCCCCCTCCCCCGTCCGTTCCGCCAGTCAGCGCTGGCGGATCGGAGCGGGGAGGGGGGAATCCAGCCCCTCCCCTGTCACGGCAGAGAGCCGTGACAGGATCGAGAGGTGAGCGAACGCCGGTATGTGTTCGCTCACCTCCCGATCTACTGAGCCGACCTGTGACAGTCTCATTGTCACAGGTCGGCTAGAACTATGAGGTGAGTGAAAAGCACTCACCTCATAGTTCTCCTTTAAGCTTGTATTCAACTCATTATGGGATTTATAGAATCCTCCTTCAGGGCTTGTGATAACACAGAGTCGGCTCTGCAGGAGGATTCTTCATCTGTATGTATGTCAATCCAAAAATATGTTTTAACTCAACTGACTTGCCAATTCATCTTTTTTTGTGCACTTCACTTCTTTCTAAACCTCACATTTCAGCCACGTTCCCTCAATGGGTAAGCATGGACTATATTCACCCTTCTTGGCTTTCATGTTGCTCCCCAAAAATGTTCTGCTCTCCCCAACTTTTTAGTGACCAGTGCTTTTGCTCTGTTTACTTTTGCAGAGCCGGCGGCCGGCTTTACAATAAAAGCAATTCTGGCGACTCAGCTGTCATCGGATTCCTCCGTTCACCGATCTCCTCCCCATTCTATGGGACTGGGAGCGACGCAGATTGCATCACTTCCGGTCCCATAGCTGTCATTGCTCGGCTCCTGAAGCCCAGCAATAAACTATTGATGTGCGATCTGTACTTCAATAGCTGATTTAGAGTGTAAAGGTGACACTGGCCCACAGTATCACCTTAAAGAGTACCTGTCACCATCAATATGCTATCACATGGGGGGCTTAAGCCCCCCTATGTGATGGCAATTAAAGTAAAGTTAAAAAAAAACTGTTTTTAAAAATTATATTAAATGAAATAAATGTAAAAATAATAAAAACATTTTTTTTAAAGTCCCCCACCCCCGCGAGCACGCACATCTTCATGTAAACAACTATCAGGTGCGCCTACGTCCGAAATCAATGAGCGCGCTACACATATTGGGTATCACCATGCACGCCAGAGAGCAATAATTCTAGGGCCAATAGTTACACGTATCTCTAAGCTGATGACCCGTGGGGGGCTTTTAAAGCGTCATATATGGACTTTTTGGGGTATTGAATTTTGTCGCCGTTTCACGGACACACACGATTTATAACCTGACCATGTTGGGTATCTATTTACTCGTTGTAACCTCATCTTTTATATTTTATAGAAACAAATTGTATTTTATTGTGTTTTGGGGCACTCCATTTAACTTTAGTGCATTTTTCACTAAATGTTTGGGTTTGATAATAAGTTGCAACATAAAAATTTGCAACTGCCACCATTTTATTCTACAGGGTCTCGGCTTTCAGAAAATTATATCATGTTTGGGGGTTTTGAAGTCATTTTCAGGCCTAAAATGTTGATTATAACATGGGTGCAAAAAATGAAATTAAAAAAGGCCCCGGTTATTAAAGGAGAACTATGAGGTGAGTGATTTTCACTCATCCTCAAAGTTCTAGCCGACCTGTGACAATGAGACTGTCACAGGTCAGCTAAGTAGATCGTGAAGTGAGCGAACACATACCGGCGCTCGCTCACTGCTTGATCCTGTCACTGCAGAGAGCCGTGACAGGGGAGTGACTGGATTCCCCCCTCCCCGCTCCGATCCTCCAGCGCTGACTGGCGGAACAGACGGGGGAGGGGGTGGGTACAGCTGGCTCTGCCTCTAGATAGGCAGAGCCAGCTGTCACTCACTCAGCTGGGTGGATCCAGACATAATTGTCGGGATCCGTTTCAGCTGCGGCGTCTTATTATACGTATCGCGGTATACTGAGCTTTTTTTGTGACGGGAGGACGCTAGTTTGTGTCCTGCCATTACCCTTAGGAGAACTATGGGGAAAAGCCCTGACCCCATAGTTCTCCTTTAAGGGGTAAAAAAAAAAAAAGTCCAGACTTCCTTCAGAGCCAGTTCCACTTCCAGCCACACGGTTTTTTTAAGCCATACAAACCTGACAGAAAGTCTAACCGTGAAGAACCATTTTAATGGTTTCAGTTTAAAGTAGACAATCAAATCTCAGACAATGGAAAAGGTGGACAGCGTCCCCTGTTTGCTCCATGGATGGATAATATTACAGGGTAACCCCATATCCAGTGGGAAATGATTCCTTTCTCTTCATGGGAAAGGGAATAATCATTTTGGCTGGTTGTACACCTGAGCCAACGCAGACGAGATAACTATGACGCATAATTTAATGGAGGACAGCCAAATTTCCTGCCACCCATTGTCTCAATGAGATGCACTTCTGTTTATATCCACCAGCAGACAAGTGTTGAGAAGAAGTGTTGACAGGAAATGCTTTGTCCTAGTACGTAAGAGCATTTCACAAACCAATGTCTAATGTTCTAAGAGACCTCAATGGTTCCTGAGATCACAGACGGCATTTGCAGAGGGATCAAAGTGGAGAATATCTGGAATGCCATTAATGGGTCATCATAGAGTGAGAGTGATTAACCCGGAGTCCACAATCATTGACTGACTCATACATTTGGAGTCAATCTTGGAGATATTTCAGAGAAAGCCTCGCCACGCATGCTGGACGTGGGATTAACTGACTTTTCTGTTCTGCCAAGATAGCAAGAACTCCGGGACAATGTATAATTGCATGATCTGGCTCCGCGAACAGGCATTTGGGAAACGCAAAACAATAGAGCTCTGATTATTGCCAGATCTGCCTTTGCTGTAAACCTGCTCTGAAGCTGTCACCGTCGCAATTAGTGATTACAGTGTATGTAAACACGGTATAATTTTTTCAGTATGTTTGGCGTCCTGTTCAGTGGCGGACCTAATAACCAAAGGGCCCTGGTGCAAGATTTTATCTTGGGGCCCCCTCCCAAGATAGGGAGGGCGCGGATCACACTAGCCCCCTCCCCCCCCCGCGGTCTCTTACGTTGCAGTAGCACGCTGGACTCTGGACTTACCTGAGACCCCGCAGAGCACACCATAGATCCTGCATAGCCCACATGAGACTCTCTGTGGTTGGCTCTGCCGGGCTGGTCGTCGAGGTCCCTTCCCCTGTACCTTCTCCTAACACTTGCCTGCTGCTGATGGGGCCCGTCCTCCTCCACCCCATCCCCTGTCACCTCTGCCATGTAGCCCCTGGTACAGCTGATACAAATGTAAGAGGCCCCCCCAGGCTGCCCAGACCCCTCACATGGGTACCGGCCATACTCCCCCCCTGATGGCGGTGTTCTATCAAAGTTTGTGACTGCGTTAGAATGTGTGACCGGTGACGTGGTCACACGGTTTAACGTAATCCCCCCCAGTTTTTTGGCGGTGTGTGACCGCCAATAGGTCAAGCATTCCAACGCTTTCTCAGCTGTTCCAGGGCAGATCGGCATCGCAGATCGCATGTGCGGGAGAACTGATCCGCCCTGGAACAGCTGTTCGGTCCTGAAATGTCACTTCTTCTCTCCGACCCTGCGACTGCGATCTCACATTCCACCATACTCACAAAGTCGCATAGAAGTGACATTTCGGGACCGATCAGCTGTTCCAGAGCCGATCAGTTCTCCTGCACATGCGATTTGCGATGCTGATCTGCCCTAGAACAGCTGAGAAAGCGTTGGAATTCTTCACCTATCGGCGGTCACATATTCCACCGCTGAAAAACTGGGCGGGATTATGTTAAAATGTGTGCCCACGTCACCGGTCACACATTCTAACATAGTCACAAACTTTGATAGAACTGAGGCTCTGTTTGTAATCATTTAATCAGAGAAATAGATTATAATGGGGAACATTACAGTGTAATATTCCCCATTACAACCCACTTGTCTAATGAAATGAAATGACAGCACACAATCGACCATTCGGGTCTGGGAGCTTCAGCTTTAGTAATATATATATATATATGGCTCCCTATATATATATATACGGCTCCCAGACTTGAATGGCATTTGGGATCCGAATTGCATTGGGGAGCTCCTGAATGGCATTCGGGTCTGGGAACCATATACATGTATTACTGAAGCTGATGCTCCCGGACCCGTAAGGCATTCAGGAGCTCCCAAATACAATTCGGAAATTCAGATCAAGAATGCCATTGGGGTCTAGGAGCCTCAGCTTTAGTATTATATGTATATACTGTATATGGCTCCCATGTTGCCTTAACGAAAATTCCTGTCTAGACCCATTCGGATGCATTAAACCGAAAAACACATCTGATTGGCCAGAAAAGTCACATGTCCCATTCAGTTTAGTTTTTGAACGAAATTCGGGCGGATTCAAAATTCGGAAACCGAAATTCGGATGCATTGGGATTCGGAAAGTCGGATGTGTCCGAATTTCTGAAAAATTTGTCCGAATTTTGATTCGGAATGAAACCAATCGCACGTGTCTAGAAGACATCTAGGTCGGTGTGAACAGCTGTATCTATAAGTGGTGAGGGTTAGGTATGGGTCAAACGCTGGCCTGGAACAACGTAAGGTCAGGGTGAAGCTTCAGCTGCCTCCAAGGACAAGTAGGATGTGGGGTGCTGGGACTTGGCTGGTATTGAATGTAGGCTATTCTGGGGTGGACAG